GACAAGAACCAAGCTCAGAGAACCCCAAGGACTCCACAGTTCAACCCTGAGCTACACATATTCACCTCTATTGAGAGAAGTTACTTTGATGCATGAGGCAGCTGATTACAAGCAGTAGAAATACAACAGTATATTAAATAACTAAGAGTTTGCTTCCTTTGGTGATAGTCAAAATCTGCCTGAGGTTGCTGCCCCATTTTGCTTTGTGGTACTACTGGCTGGCCAGAAGTGAGCTCTGTTGAGCTCAATAGAGCTTAATCCCAGAAAAGTGACTGCATTGTTAATATTCAAGCTTTTGGGGGAAGGAGAGATGCCTAGGTTAAGGCCCTGTGAATTAAACCCTAGGCAGAAGGGTCTCCTTCCCTACTTTAAAAGAATTTGCTGGACTTCTAGTTCATGAAAGCCTTGCTGCCTTTCCCCAAGTTTCTGGTTAGTTCTCGTCCTCATTTAAAGTATATAAAATGTGTTGGGTTCTATGATAAAACATGTAACCAGAATCAGCTTGTAAATTTAAGAAAAATATTTTTAAAAATACAAGGGAAGTCAGCCAGAGAGGAGAGAGAAAACTGGCAAGACAAAAGAGGAAGTTAGGAGAAGCCATGCTAAATGTGATGGAGGTCATACAGAAAACTGACTTCTCTTGCCTTTGGATTCTGCAGGAGCTGAGGGCTGGGAACGAGAGGGAAAGTAGAGAGATGCAATGCCAGCTTCGGCTGTCAAGGATAGAAATGGGTTATCTAATACTCTTTTCTCCCTTGCAGATGCCTGAGCCTGGAAACAGCCACTGACAGGATGTTTGCTATCCATCCTCCCAATGCTTCTCAAGCACCTGCCATTCATCTAGTGAACAGTTCCTCCTCGGGTTATACAGAGCTGGTGAAGACTCCACCGAACAATTCTTCCCCTACTGCCCCCATCTTCTCAATGACCTTGGGGGCAGTCTCCAATATCGTGGCCCTGGTGATCCTGGTGCAGTCCTACACCCGCTTTCGGCGCCGTTCCAAGGCCACATTCCTGCTTTTTGCCAGCAGCTTGGTTATCACAGACCTAGCAGGTCATGTCATCCCAGGCTCCTTTGTGTTGCAGTTGTATGCCACACGGCGTGGCTGGGCAGCCATGGACCCTTCCAGAGCTCTCTGCCAGTTCTTTGGTGCTTCCATGGTATTCTTTGGACTATGCCCACTCTTTCTGGGCTTCATGATGGCAGTGGAGCGGTGCATGGGCATCACCCGTCCTCTGCTTCACGCAGCAGTGGTCACTCCAGGCCGAACAAAGCTTTCCTTGCTAGGGCTGTGGACAACCGCTCTTGCCATTGCCCTGATGCCTCTCTGCAGCTTTGGGAGCTATGTGGTCCAGGCCCAAGACACTTGGTGTTTCATCAAGGTGCAGGGGGCAGAAGCATGGCCTGAGATAGCTTTTGCCCTGCTCTTTTCTTTTTTGGGATTGGCCTCCCTGGTGGCCTCTCTCATCTGCAACACATTCAGTGGACTCATTCTGGTGCGAGCCCGTCTCCGTGGTCAGCGCAAATGTGGTCAGCGGAGGGCCAAGGCTCATGACATTGAAATGGTCGTGCAGCTTGTGGGCATCATGGTTGTCTCCTGTATTTGCTGGAGTCCATTATTGGTGAGTAGAAAAAACAGAATGGAAAAGGGGCAATGGAAACGTGGGGTGTTGGCATGTGGGTGTTTTGAGGCACCAAAGAAATGGGAAGTTGGCAAGTCTCAGACAAGCCCCTCCCTAGTTCACATAAAGATGGAGGGTAGAGGTATATTAAGACTTGCAAAATTCTGTTACTATAACTTTACAATAAAAGTAGTACAATAAAAGTAGTACTGGTCTACATGACTTTGGTTTCCTAGTCTGGTCTACCGTACCTTAAAGGGCTGACAGCACATGGTTCCCCTATTAGGCATTGTGGCTGAAAATTCTGTTAAGGTATATGGAGAGCATCAGGTTGGGTAACTTTGGAGTAAGGTGCCCCTGTGTGTTAGGAAGATACTTGGAATTTATGGTTATATGAAACACAGTGCCTTGATTATGCAAGGGACTCCTTGATTAGAGAGTCCTTTTAGGAAATAATGTTAGCTGGAAAACTTCTGGTCTAGAGGTTAAAAATTCAGATCAAACTGACATCATGCTTGGGTATAATAGTCCAAAGAATGAACCAAGCAACCATATTTTGAGTGAATCAATGGACACTGGGAAGTCTTTATCAGCACATAAAGGAAAGGATGGTTGTGAGTGGTATAATTGCTGTCTGGGCCGAGCTAATGTGTATAGAGTTAATACCTGTTTCTAAGTTGTCAGGGTCACTGGAGAGGGGCAGACCATAGGAACCTCCTGTCTGATATCTTGTTCTCTCATTTGCTGATGTCACTTTGCTGCTCTTTTTCTCTGTGCTGTTCCCAGATCATTGTCATCTTATCAGTGAGCAACTCTCATGGAACCCTGAATTATGATCAGCTGCTATTCCTTGGTGTGCGGCTGGCCTCATGGAACCAGATTTTGGACCCTTGGGTGTATATATTGCTGCGGCGTGCAGTGCTGCGCAAGCTCGTGGCTCTACTTCTAAGGCGTCCTGACCTCAAAACGACTCATTTTGACCGCTGGGAAGCCAGCTCCTTCCAGAGCTCAGAGCGCAGTGTTGCTGCTGGTCGCATCTAGTATTGGGTGGAGCAAGCAAGAATTTGCCTACTTGAAAGCACTTTGAACCTTCCTGGAATTCAGAATCCAGGCACCTTGACTGCTGCTGGTGGCATAGGTGATACAAGAGATAAATTGGCAGTTTCAAATCCTGACACCAGATAAGAGGTTCAAGATTTTGGAGCAGCCTCCTGCCTGTTTGTGACTTTCTTATGAGAGAGAGAGAGAGAGAGACGCAGGATCTTCTTGGAAGACATATTAATGACAGTTCTTTTGGGGGAGGGAGTCGGGGGCATCTACAGAAAGGGTAAGGGAGAGCAAATATATCATGATGCAAATGGTAAGTCATGATGCCCATGACTTCATTTTGACATCATTGTAGCTTCTAGTGGACCTCTATGGTGGGGACCTTTGCTCAGTGATAAAAGAAAATATTATATGTGCCGGATACTTCCAGTAAGGCAGAACTGAGGAAGAACTCTGTGTCTGCTTCTAGACAGTCATCAGTACCAAAAGGAGACAATTCTTGACCAGGTAAACAAAAGCAGGTCTGTATGTTTTGATAGGAAGAAAAGCTATGGTTTAGTGCATTTTGAAAGCCTTACATCCTCCCTGATACAGACTATGCGCTGTGCATGAAGACCCTGTTAGCTATTCATGCTGTATTCCAAAGCTGAAGAATGCAGTAGGTGCAGAAGCAGGCTACCTATGGCTTCCTTGCACAGTGCAACTGCAGCTTCTCAGGAGTGTGAAGCTTGTTCTTGTGGATTATCAGGCAAGAAGACATCCCAAGTAGCATCCTTCCTTGGGTGTTCAGTTCAGGTAGGTCATCATCCGGCTGCACTTTCCTAGCCAGAGAATAGCCAATCAAGTCCAACCCGTCAGTGCAGATTGTTTAACGTGCTGCCAGAAGTGACTTGGATACTTGGAGTCTGTGATGCAGTTTTTCACAATGCTAAGGCTACTGTATTACTGCAGCGTGTAAAGGAATTTTTGTCTAAGATTTGCTGCACTTCTATACAAGCAATCTGATGCAAAGCAAAGTATCATTCTGTCTCACCATCTCATATAGATTGCACGTCCATTGCAGTGGAGGGAACAAAGGCATGTGCTTATGGTTCAGGGTGACCCTTAATTTAGACAGAAATGTGGGAATTCTAGAGAACCTTTTCATGGGCATAGTGGATGGAGAAGGCTGGAAATGTGATCTCATGTGGCCTCCCAAATTCAAAAATAAGGAAAAGAGCCCCTTTCATAACAGAGTAAGTGGACACATGGCATCATTTCCTCATAGAGAAGATCTGCAACAAACAGTTCTGTCCTAGAATGGATTTCCACAAATTGCTAAGTTGCTGATGACCCTGCAAAATAATGTCCTTGGGGAAAAGGTGGGACTGATGCACAGACTGCAAGGGGGATGTCTCTGTCTGCTGCTCTGTTCCATGCTCTGAGATGCTATGGAGCAAGGATGGTGGGAAAGTCCTGAAACGATTGATCTGTAGGGGCTGGCTGTGGCATGATAGCGTTCTGAGGCAACTCTTAATCAGCACTAGGCGCTCCACAACAAACCGTTTCAGTGGGGCACTCTGGCCTTCTACGCTTTATTTTCTTCAGGTCCCTGACTTACTCCACACGCCTGCTGCCAGGAGCCTGTGCCAGCCGGACTAATTTAGTCAGCAACAGGGTCCCATTTATCGCTCCATGTGTTTCGTTTTCATTCAGTGACTGCTTTGCTCTGCTTATTATCATCTCTTAGCAGCTGGAGCATGTAGAATCAGGCTTGTAGAATCCTGGTTGAAAGCTGGATCAAACAGCAGAAGGAAAATTATCATTGTTATGGGAATTAGTTGAAAAGACAGGCTTGCAAAGTTGCAGATCTGTTGCTCCTGGTTCAGATATTCTGGCCAAATCTATATACCTGGTGCTGCCCCACCAACCCTGTCCTTCAGTATGTTTGTAATCAACATAGCTGTTGTGCCGTGTTCCCATACCATCTGGGACCCAGCAGAAAAGGGTCTGTGCTGCTGCCCTTCGACCTTCTAATAAAGTATTTATTCACACACAACATTTCTAAAGGCCGTGATTACTAGTTCCTTGACTGAAATGCCATCACCCTCACACGACGCTTTGGTTACTGTGTGCGCTATTTTTTTTTTTTCCTGTTAATGCTGTCTACTGATTTAATTTTTTTAAAAAAAATTCCCTGAAACTATGGATTGACCGTTTAATTAATTAATTTTGCATTACTTGGCTGCCATTTAGTGGTGGTCTGAATTTATGCAGCTGCTGGATATGTGCTGCTGGAGTTGAGAAAGGGAATCAGTGTGGTAGCTGTAAACTAAGAAAGCTACTTGAGGAGCCAAGGCAAGGGATTCCCTGCCAGGCAGGCTATAGAAAGTATAAGATACAAGCCTACTGATTATCCATTGCAGGACAGGGCCAGGGTTTCCCACAACCAAACCATTTAAAAAAGAAGGGGCTGCTGAAATTGGACTTCCAGTCGTCTTTGCACCCTAAAGAGCACTGGGCAGTGAGGGGAACAGGTCAAAAACCCAGATAGAAGGGGGCGGTTCCAACCCAGAACACATTTCAGTTCTCCCTCCCTCCCTCCTCCCCTGAGGCGTCAACACCCTACAACACCCACTTGCAGTGGCTGGAGGCGAGATAAGAGGGAAAACATCCATTCCAGAGCAGTCTCTTGACTTCCCAGCTGCAGGAAGATGAGGAGATACAAGCAATGGTGTGCAGACATACCCTCTGGAAACAGCTAGGGGGCTGCCTTTCTTTACATGGGGGAGTGGAGGATGCCGTGTAGATAATGCCCATACCTCACTTCCCTGGGCGTGTTTGCTCCCTTAGCACCCTTCATAGGATCTCTCCTAGTGCAAGGTACCCGCACTTTGTTTACTGGGCACTCAGAAGTTTTTGTTATCTAATAACACAGACCAGAGTTTGTTGAAATCCACCTTATTTACTAGTCCAAAGGCTTTGCTGTGGGCTAAGAAGGGCCAACGGAAACAGTTTGGACTGACTTGCAAGCAGGGCTGGGAAACGGTCCATCCTCCATTTCCTTGTGTTCTAAATTGGAAGCCAATACAAGAGCAGGCACTGGTGGGAGACAATCAGATACATTTGTGGGGAGGGCCTGGTAAATGAGAAGCTTTAATCCTGCAGCTGAGCTTCAATGGGCAGCTTCCTGATTGTTATGGAAAGCAAAATGCTAAAGTAGATGGACCTTTGGTCTGATGGAGAATGGAAATGCTTAGATTCCTATGACAGCTGTCTGGCTCTCCCTTCTGACTGCCACAGGTACTGCTTTCATCTTCAAAAAGCAGGAGGAGAGGAAACACCATGGGATCCCTGGCAGCAGACAAGCCAGACAAAAGAGGAAGTGGCACCCAACATCACCCATCAAAATTAAGCATGAGGTTTTCTTGTGTTGAGCAGCTCAGATCTGCATCCAAGAACGAGGGCAGGGTTTGGGGCCTCAAGCACCGGTCCTTACATTAAAGAGCACAATAACTATGAGCGCATTATAACTCCGCCGTGAGGGGGCATTTCCCGTACAATCAGTTATAAAGGTCATCGTCTCCCTCCTCCTGGAAGAGGCTTCCTTGCCCGCTGTTGCTGCCGCTGCTGCCCCCTCCACCACTGCTCTGCTTGCCAGATGGAAACCTGTGGGGAAAGAGGGCAGGGCTGGTTCGGTTCAGGAGAAACATGGCGTATTCACTCCGCTGAATGAATTGACATGTCAACCAGAACTTGCTACGCATTATCACAATGTTCAAGTGCAACAAGTTGTTCAGGAAGGTGGCTGTGGATTAATAAAAGCACTGCAGCCACCCTCAGCTGCATGCAATATTGCACTTTTTTTTTTTATGCACAACATCCAATTGATGGGTGTGGTTCTTGATATGAAAGTTAAAAAAAAATTCCCTAGTAGGGCACAAGCATACTTGTTAACCGAAGTATTTATTTGTTGAATTTAGATCCCTCTTAAAAAGAAGGACCCTTTTTTTAAAAAATTGCCCCTTAGGTAGATTTATATCCCACCTTTCATTCAGGGAAATTGGGTGGGAAGAAGAGATTAAAATGGCTAGCACCCTAACATCGGTATTACACACTGCCACATTTTGTGGCAGGCACTGCTTGTTCTGTCTATGGGATTTTATAAACTCTTTTGTGGGCCCCAACATGACCTAAATTTAATGAATAAAATTATATGCACCTTCTTGGGAAACAATCAGGGAATGCAACCCCCACGCCTGCACCCCATGCTGTGGCACCTCTGTTTTATTTAAAGAAACACAAAGTTCTACGAACGTTACCTGAAGTTGCCAAAGCCACGGCTCTGCTGCAACGTCTGGGCAAACATCTCGTATTTGCGTATATCGTTATCACTAACTGAACGGCGTGCAAAGCGCATCGCTTCCTCAAAGTGATCCCGTCGTATCTCTGGCACTGGATCATAATCATCATCCTGTTACAAGACACAGAGGAAAATGCTGTCAGGCACACAGTAGCCCCATGATGGAGAACACGCTCTTAAAGGGAAGAACAGAGCTAGAGACAAGGGAAGGAATCTAGTCTGGCCTTAAATGGAAATGGGAAAACGTTGTGCCTGTACCATGGCAGCACACTTCTGGCGCTGGCGTTCCCGTTCTGCCTTGATCTCCATCTCAATGGCCTCACGGATGGCGAGCTTGCAGGCGCGCTGGCAGATTTCGGTGAGGTCAGCACCCGAGAAGCCATGCGTGATCTTAGCTAGGTAATTCAGGTCCACATCCTGTTGGGAAAAGGTACACAAGCTGAAGTGCTATGGGCCCAAGTGAGCAAAATAAGCAAGAGCCTTGGGAGGTGGGATGCTCAGGGGCCGGCAGAAAAGCATTTGAGATTATTATATGCCAATTAATTCTGCCCTCCGTGGTTAGCCAGCTGCTTTCAGGTACAGTGGGAGTCACTGCCTCATTTTCTGTATTGGAGCAGTTCAGCCTTATCCATGGAGTGAGAAGTGATGCCATCTTGTTCTTCACTTGGATGGTAAAGCATCCTGGGCTAGTCCAGAACTTCAAGGAAGACTGAGTAACACTCCCCCTTTAAAGACAGATGCCCTTCTCACAACCGATCCCCTTCTACTGGAAGGTGATGGGTGAAGCCAATGGGTTCAGTCCCTGGACCTTGACATCTACTGCTGATTGTTTTAACTTCCCTTCCCTAATTTTTGCCTGCTTTAACTGACCTTGGCAACTGGCGACTTTCGCAAATTGGCTTGGAGGATAGCTACGCGAGACTTTTCATCAGGTAATGGGATGTAGATGAGCTGGTCCAGACGTCCTGGGCGTAGGATGGCTGGGTCAATGATGTCTGGTCTGGAAGGGGTGAGCAAAGAGACAAAAGCAAGATTCATCAGTCGCTTTTCCCCAGGAATGGCTCCAGCATCTCAGCTCAGATGCTTCTTTATCAGGAATGCAGCTCTATAGCAGAAGTGGGCAAGAATGGGGGTGGTGGAGGCAGAAGACTGCAAAGTTGGTGAGACTATATTACACGGTGGGTGGTACAGGCTTTGCAGGGAGTTTTGTTTTTAACTTTAGTATGTCTGTTTTAAAGCTGATACTACAGTTTTCCTGTGTTGCTTATCTCAAAAGCAGGAAACGTTTAAACTGTCAGGTTTGAGAATCATGGCCAAAGGGGGCTACAAAAATCAGGTGTGGGGGTCACATATCACCCTGGAGACTTGTTTCCAAAGAAGTGATCCTGATTTTATCTTTCCTCAATGAGCTCTTACTTCAGTCCAGCCTCAATGACCCACAGAGTAAAGAGGGCTCTGGAGGAAGAATAGCTAAGCTGGCAGCAGGACAAAGAGGCTGGTCTTGCCCATGTATCTCCACTGCCCACAGAACTGGATCTTCCTTTCCACCTTCCTTTCTTTGAATTCTCACCTATTGGTGGCACCTATAATAAATACTGTCTTCTTGTTGGTCATGCCATCCATTTCCGTGAGGATCTGGTTGATAACACGGTCGGCTGCACCCCCGCCATCCCCTGCTCCACCACCTCGGGCCTTGGCAATGGAGTCCAGTTCATCAAAAAACAGAATGCACGGAGCAGCCTGCCGGGCCTGGGGAAGAGAAGGACCAATATGAGTTAGGTAAGAAAGGAAGAAATATGGGACAGGTGAAGTTGTGTCTCGTGTTCAAAGGCCTTCTATCTTTCCAGGGTAATGTATTTCAGCTGTGATGCCCTGAATTACAAGACCATATTATTTTGAATTATAGGACTATCCTTTTGTAAAGTGAAGATTGGACTGAATGGTCTCAATGGACAATAAAGAGCTGGTGGATTTTAAACCAATGGCCTGAGACAATGAATTGTGAATTGTGGGCAGCTATTCAGTACAAACAATAGTGCAACATTCTCCAATGACTCCCTTTAATAAAAGCTGTGGAATGAGTGCCATAATTCCACAACAATTTGAAACAGAATTTCAGAATAACGTGGGAGCTCATTCTAACCTCTTTTTCATCCTTTCCATGGCTGCCTGGACCTCACAGGAGGCAGGACCTAGTCACTTTTGTTTGGATTCAAGCTAAGCAAGGTTGGACTAGTTAGTATTTGGGTGGGAGACTTCCAGGGAATACTGGGTTGTGGGTTACCTTGGGGAGTAAAAAAATTTTGCAAAAGATGGTGGCAAACTGCTTCCATGCTGTCACCCAAAAACTGCAGGCATGTGTGGATGAAGCCACCAGGACAAGAGCTCAATTTAAAGGAGACTTGACATTATGGGTGACTGAGAAATAGCAGATGCCTTTAGTTCCTGCCCCAATAGTCAGCCCTTCTCCTTCCCCCCACCAGCTTTGTACTCTGCACCTTGTCAAAAACATCGCGGACGTTGGCCTCACTCTCTCCAAACCACATGGTGAGTAGCTCAGGACCCTTGATGGAGACAAAGTTGGCCTGGCATTCATTTGCAATGGCCTTGGCCAGTAGGGTCTTGCCACAGCCAGGGGGTCCATAGAACAGTACACCTCGGGAAGGCGTCATTCCAAACTTCAGGAACTTGTCTGGATACTCCACTGGGAACTGGTGAAGTCAAGAGAGCAAGGCATTAAGAACTTGAACCATTCTTCTTATTAAATAAAAGTCAGTATTCCTTCTGCTTGGAAAACTAGTTACTACTTTTCTTCATTATCTGGGTTGTAGAGACCAGCTAAAGTGAGTGAATTTACCCTCATTTTCTGTCCTCATTACCTATGAAATATGCACACCACCACTCCGTTACTAATCTGGAATGGAGACGGACCATAAAAAGTATCTCACTGCCATGGGAGACAGTTACATAATCTGGGAGGCACTCAATGGAGTTTAGATTCTAATTCCCGTTATCACTGAGCACTGGCCATGCTGGCTGGAGGTGATAAGAGGTGAAGTTCAGCAGCTTCCAAAAGGTGCCAGAGCTGTGTGTTAAGAAGTAAGGGGACTAGTGCACAAAGAAGATGTAGTTGATTAGTACTCGTCCCTTCGGTTTGGAGCTGGTCTTAAATATATACACGCATACACACACACTGGGTTAAATGATATGTATGTACGTGAACTTAATATGCATTTTATATTTATAGAGGCAATATCAAAGATGTCTGTGATAAAAATGGTTCAATCAGTCTTCTTCAAATATTAAGCACCAAACCTTATGTTCATTGCTGTTAGAAAGGAAAGATGGCAAGGGCACAAGTTTTATAATTCTGGCTAAGCTTTCCATTTGGAAGCAGTCTCTAACTTTTATCCCTTATTATCCCCACCTCCATCTCTTAATATATCAAAGCAAGCAAAATTCTTGCCTGCTTTGCCTGCCTTTTTGCTCAGAGCAGGGATGGGGCCAACAAGTGCAGAAATTGTGTACAAATACTGCAGTGTGGGAATGTGTAAAATTCAGCAATAGAATTTTCCAAAGAATTCCAGAACATTCTGTTTGCCCATGTCAAAGCTTTGCCTTAAGAAATTCACTTTCAGAAACCGCTAAACTGCCCTGGAATGGCATAATCCAAAAGAAATTTGGCAGGGTCCATAGGGAATGTTCTCCAGAATGTTCCATTTC